CTCCGACCCTGGTACCACTGGTAGTGAATAAAAGAGAGAATCCGAGCTAATGGGGGTCAGGAAGACCGGGGTACCGACTTCCGCGGGCTCCCCAGGCTCTGGACAGGGCCGCAGGACCCAGAGCCCGCTCTGCGGAAGAAGGTCCCACCCCGCCACTTCAGAACCTGAGTTCAAGTCCCAGAGCTGCCTGGCACTGGCTGCCTGCACCTGAGCAAGAGACCTGCTAGGCCTGTTCCCTCCGCACCGAGCGTTGTGAGGTGGCCAGAAAAGCTTCTCCTTATCCTCCTTCCCTTCACTAACTGAGGCCTTCCCGGCGGCGGCAGCGTGCAAGGCAAGATACTTAGGGTCTGGGAGATCAGCCTGCGTCCTTTATTGACCGAGGAACCTGGGTTGGCTTCCATTGCCTGGTCCTCAGTTTCCTGCCTGTACAATGGGAATAAATGATACCTACTTATTGCCTGGGACATTGTGAGAACCGTCTCTGCAAACTGTAAAATGCTTTGGGTGCTGAAACTAACCAGACGCTGGTCCAGAGCACCCCAAGGCCCAACACACAAAGTCCGCCCCCGGGAGACCACTACCCCTCCAGTGAGCACGATGCCTCCCGAGCATCTATCTCTCCACGTCGCTTCAATCAATCTCTAGCTCACACCTGGGTCCAAGAGTTGGGTGGGTGGGCGAAGCCGGAGGCGGGCGCAGGGGACTGTCTGCAGCTTGATGCTGAACGGAGACGCAAAGGAGAACCTGCACGTCCTCAGTGCAGTATCCCAAAGGGAACTTTTGTCGGAGAAGTCCCCGGGGCCTGTGGACAGGCTGCTGGGAACCCTAGAGGCCGGCCGAAGGCGGTGTCGACACTCACAGTACAATAGAGGCAGCACAAGCAGGCCTTGTTCGGGGACCCTGCCCACCGTCTTTCCACTCCCACCCCTACCACTCTGGGGCGTCCTGGCTCCGCGATCGTTGTCAACCACCCCACCGGATTCTGAGATACCTTTCGAAAAATCATTAGGAGGCTAAGAATAATTACCGAAAGGGATTGTAATTATGGGGTGGGGGAAGCAGACCGAGGGAGCGGAGATGAGCAGGTGGAGTTTGGGGGCGGCTCTCGGACTGTTTTTCTCAGCGGGAAGAGGGGAGAGAGAACCGCAGTTAAGGGGGACAGAGGCAGAGCCTGGGAGAGATGGAGGGGCCAGAGGCAGGGACCAGAGGACCTACCAGGCTCTGGGAGGAGAGAGAAAGGCAGGGCGATCCCAGAGAGAAAGACGAAGCCCGAGGGAGGCTAGGAGAGCAGGAACTCTGCAAAGACAGTGCCCTCAAACTTGGGGGTAGTTTTTAGAGATCCGTTAGCCAAGGGGAGAAGGTGGCGGCAAAGGAATCCTCAGGCCGGGCCGGGCCGCCCCCTCTCTCCGAGGGCTAGTCTGGGTGTTCCGCTCGCACCCCCAGAGCCTTTTCCCAGGGTCCCTTCGAGCCAGGGGAGAAGGGGAAAACAAGGGGGGAGAAGTGGAAACGAACCCTAGAGGAGCTGGAATGTAGGAGAGGAGAGGGCCTATGACCCGGAGCGAGAAGGGAAGAAGAGGGCGGGGGAGTGGGCAACCCCGCGCCGCTGGCCGCGGAAGATTTATTGCGCTGCCGGGGTTCCAAGGACGGGCTCAGCTCGGTGCTGCTGCCAAAGCCTGTAACCGCAGTGGCCGCTGCGCCCCCTGCCCGGCCGGCCTGCCGCGCCCCAGGCCATCCCTGCCATTATTAACTTCTGTTTGATTAGGGTAATTGTTCAAACTTGGGCTGGACAGTATGATTAATTACAGTTTAATTAACGTGTCCATTAAGGACACTTAATACTACTTGGGAGAGGGGAGGGTGAGGAGGTGCCCGGGTACGGGCAAAGAGGGAGGGAGTGCGACTGGTAACTCACATGAAGTAGAGACAGAGATTAGGAGAGGGAGAGCACAGGGACCCAATGGGGTTGGGGGGGGGGGAGAACAGTGAAGAAAGGAACCGACAGGCAGAGGGAAGAAGATGGAGAGAAATGGAGCTGTGGGAAGAGAGAGTACGCCAAGGGGTGGCTGCAGTGTCAGAGGGCTAGACCCCCACCACGGGGAAACTGGCCTAGCAGAAGTAGGGAGTAGTCCAGCAGTCAACTAGAGAGCAGTCTCCCAGCGAGGCGATGGTTCCTGCCCAAGGTGCACCGTCCCCCACGCCGTCCTACCCCCCCAAAAAAAACAGTTCCTGAGTCCACTGTTCAGTAAGGGAGGCAGGCGGCCGCTCCTTCCTAGGCTGGAGCTGTCCTGACACCTCAGATCCAAGCCAGACACCGCACCCCCACCCCACCTCCATCCCTATCCCCACTGCCTCTGCCCCCGCCTCTGGTAACCATACTGGCTTTCCAGGGCCACTCTCAGGCTCCACCGCCCTGACCGGAAAGTGTGGTAACCCTCCCTCCAACCCTATGCCTGAGCTGCCCTTAGCCTGGACACCCTGCCTTGGCCTGGATCTCTTCTGGCCCCTAGGAGGGGAGCAGCTCCCCATTTCGTTCTTGGGGACAAACTTTGCGGCCCCAGGCCCTTTCTCCCTCCTGGCCCCTTTGGCGAGCGCAGGCCGCAGGTGCCGGGTGCAGGGCGCAGGTGTGCTACCGCTTACCTGGGGCGCGCGGGCCAGGGGTTGCGGGGAGGCGGCGGGCGCGGCGCGTGGCCCTCGGGCTAGCGGGCCCCGGGAGGCGCAAGTGACTGCGCGGGCGGTGGGTGTGGCACCCAGGCTCGCAGCTGTCAGGCGTGCCTGCCCCGCGCCGGCCTCGCACTCCGGCTGTGACCGCGCAGTGTCCGTCGCCGCGCCATGCGCTCCAAGCTTCGGCCTCCGCTCCGGGCCCTTCTGGGGCCTCAAGGGGTAGCGGCGCAGGGCACAGGCCTATGCACCCAGGGCCTTAGCGCCCCACACCTGCTGAGAGCGGGCGCCGCGCGGGAGGGGCTGGCGGGGCCGCGAGTGTGAGCGCGGGGAGCCCGGGAGCGCGGCTGTGCGCGCGCGCGGGGAGGGGCCGTGCCGTCACCCGGAGAGCCCGGCGGATCCCGGACTCCGCGGCGGATCCCGGACTCCGCCGCGCACCTCCGCTCTCCGCTCGCCCGGCTCCAGCCGCCGCCGCCGCCGCACGGTGAGTATCCGCGTCCGGTCGCCTGCCGCCCCCGCACCCTGCCACTACATCTTCCTTCGTTTAGTTCCGATTTGGGTTCTTGGGGCTGTTTTTATTTTTATACTTAAAGACTCCATCGCCTCACTCCCACCTCTGCCCGCCTCCCACCTCGTCGCCCACTCCAAGCTCACCCCCTCAAGCTCCAGGAGCCGGCGAGGACTCCCTGAGCCGCCCTAGCCGCTGCTCCTTGTCGCTGCGAACAGCCCTTTACCCTGGCTTTCTGCTCTGGCCCTCGAAATTCGGTTCCTTCCTAGGGCCCACCTTATCCTGGCCCCGGGGCCCCCTCCTCGCCTTCGGGAAAATCCCGCGGGAACCACAGACCTTCAGCTAGGGGGGATGGTGCGCTCGGCTCCCAGCAGTCCCTTCACTGCATGCGGACAGGGCACACTTGCCGATTTCGGGAAACGCAGAAGACATCGTCATTTCCCAGAACCGTGGCGCCCTCCACCACCATCTCACCCCAGGCCACCTCCCCAGCCCGCCTGAGAGCCCTTCAAGGGGTTTCGAGGCTTGTCTTGCTGACCCCTCCGCTGGGGAGTTAAGACAATGTTTTTGCTCCTAAATGTTACAAGGGACTTCAACGCGAAAGGAGGATCAACTTGTTTCAATTCGATCCACAGTTATAAAGATGAAACAGATAATAGATAAATAGCTTGATATTTGAAGAATATATGAAGACAGATGGGAGAAAGAGGAGGGAGCTGGGAAAGACAGCTTGGGGGTGATAAGATCGACAGATGAGGGGCACCTAGACAGAGAAGGAGGGAGACAGACTGAAGATCCCAGTCTTCTTGATGAAGTCTTTTGAACCCAGATCCCCTGTCCGGCTGGAGCTGCCCCTCTGAAAATGGGTTTTCCTTTCCTACCGAGTTAGAAGAGGGGCCCTCAGGGTTGGGCTGCCTGGGCCGCAGGAGCGCCTGCAGCAGTGGGCCGGTAGGAGTCTTCCGTGTCTGAGGACACGTGGCTGGCCCCCTCCATCTAGAGAGCTCCAAGCATTCACTCCCCCATCCTCCCGCTGCTGAGGTCTGCCGGCACCGCTGCTGCTTCCCTCCCTGGGCCAGCGAGCAAAGCATGGGACAGGCAGCAACTTTTGACCTAGAGCCTTGTAGTGGTTTCAGAGACTGGCCAGGATTCCCTTCAGCCCATATGAGCCTGGATAGCCCCCCACGAAGGATACTCAGAAAGGAGACCGCGCCCCCCACCCCAAAAAAAGAGGAAGCCCAGAGAGACTGCACTTGGCCTAAACGAAATGGCATATCTGAAGGAGGAAAACTTAAGGAGTGGGCAGTTAAAAGCGAAGGAGAAGTGGCTCCTGAGAAACTTCCTTGAGAACCTCTCCATCTTACACGCTGACCGGATGCAAACCAGCTTTGGTCTAGAACACAGCTAAAAATGCAGAAAATTTGATTAGGAACTGCGTGACCCTGGTCCCACTGATGGCTGGAAAGAAAACGATTTCTATTTCCAGCCGGAATCTTTCTGGTGGGGCTCCAACTGTGAGAGAAGAAGCTCAGGTTTGTGGAAACCAGTGCTGTTATCCCGGGGAGCCAGCTTGGCTCGGAGCTGGATGACTTGGGGCCGCCCTATGGCTGGGCGCTCAAGATGTGCTTTGGAGAAAGCCGGGTTCAGCACCGTGAACAGCGGTCGCCTCCGACTCACCCTCCCTTCCCCACAGCCTGGGGACCCTCCTCCTCCCCCCCCCCCGCCCCCTGCTGTCTGGAGCTGGGCAGTGACCGCCCCTCCCCCAACCCCTCTACGCGCTGCCCCCGCCCGCCCGCCCTGGTGCATGCAAGACAGAGCAGAGGGGAGGCCGGTCCCAAAGTCCGGACTTCAGGACCTGGGCGGGTAGGGCAGGCTGAGGGTGGCCGAAGGCGCACGGATCTCGGCGCCCTGGAAGTCTGGGTTCGGCAATGTCTTTGCTGTGTGGCCTTGGGCAAGTCACTCTCCATCTCTGGGCTCCACTTCCTCCCCATTCCAAAAACAGGATTTCGTTCCTAGCTGCTCGAGCATTCCCGAGGTCTCAGTTACTCCTTCTGCTCACCCAAACCCCGGGGGCTTCTGTGCAGGCGCCATCACGCGTCTGAATAACAAAAGGCGTCCGTCTAGGGGGCGAATGAGCTCGGACTCCCCATTGCCAAGATTCCCCCGCGCACCCGACTCGGCGCGCCCCGCTGGGCGGGCCCGAGCCGTGGCACTGAAAATGGCTCATCTGCTCTCTGCTTTCTCTGTTTCGCAGGAGCGGCGGCATGGAGGCTCTCACCACTCAGCTGGGGCCGGGGCGCGAGGGCAACTCTTCACCCAACTCGAAGCAGGAGCTGCAGCCCTACTCGGGCTCCAGCGCTCTCAAACCCAACCAGGTGGGCGAGACATCGCTGTACGGGGTGCCTATCGTGTCTCTGGTCATCGATGGCCAGGAGCGCCTGTGTCTGGCGCAGATCTCCAACACCCTCCTCAAGAACTACAGCTACAATGAGATCCACAACCGCCGCGTGGCTCTGGGCATCACGTGCGTGCAATGCACGCCAGTGCAGCTGGAAATTCTGCGTCGGGCTGGGGCCATGCCTATCTCATCACGCCGCTGCGGCATGATCACGAAGCGCGAGGCCGAACGCCTGTGCAAGTCGTTCCTAGGCGAGCACAAGCCACCCAAGCTGCCCGAGAACTTCGCCTTCGATGTTGTGCACGAGTGTGCGTGGGGCTCGCGTGGCAGCTTCATCCCCGCGCGTTACAACAGCTCTCGTGCCAAGTGCATCAAGTGCGGTTACTGCAGCATGTACTTCTCGCCTAACAAGTTCATTTTCCACTCGCACCGCACACCCGACGCCAAGTATACTCAGCCCGACGCCGCCAACTTCAACTCGTGGCGCCGTCACCTTAAACTCAGTGACAAGTCGGCCACAGACGAACTGAGCCACGCTTGGGAGGACGTCAAGGCCATGTTCAATGGCGGCACTCGCAAGCGGACCTTCTCGCTGCAAGGAGGCGGTGGCAGTGGTGCTAATGGAGGGTCGGGTGGGCAGGGGAAAGGTGGCGCCGGCGGCGGTGGGGGAGGCCCGGGGTGCAGTGCGGAGATGGCCCCAGGCCCGCCGCCCCACAAAAGCCTGCGTTGTGGCGAAGACGACGCCGCCGGACCTCCTGGGCCGCCGCCTCCCCACCCGCAGCGGGGACTTGGTCTGACAGCGGGAGCCGGCGGCCCCGCGGGTCCTGGAGGGCCTGGTGGAGGCGCCGGCGTACGTAGCTACCCGGTGATCCCAGTGCCCAGCAAGGGCTTTGGCCTCTTGCAGAAGCTTCCCCCGCCGCTTTTCCCTCACCCCTACGGCTTCCCCACGGCCTTTGGCCTCTGCCCCAAAAAGGACGACCCGGTGCTAGGGGCGGGCGAACCTAAGGGCGGCCCAGGCGCCGGGAGTGGCGGGGGCGCGGGCACTGGCGGCGGCGCGGGAGGCCCAGGAACTGGCCACCTGCCCCCGGGGACCGGGCCTGGCCCGGGTGGTGGCGCCATGTTCTGGGGTCACCAGCCCTCTGGGGCAGCCAAGGACGCTGCAGCGGTGGCTGCAGCGGCCGCCGCAGCCACTGTGTACCCGACGTTTCCCATGTTCTGGCCGGCGGCAGGCAGTCTCCCGGTGCCACCCTATCCAGCTGCGCAGAGCCAAGCTAAGGCCGTGGCGGCCGCCGTAGCGGCGGCAGCGGCAGCGGCGGCAGCTGCTGCGGGTGGCGGCGGCCCCGAGCCTCTGGATGGTGCCGAGCCAGCCAAGGAGGGAGGCCTGGGCGCAGAGGAGCGCTGCCCGAGCGCGCTGTCCCGCGGGCCGCTGGACGAGGACGGCGCGGACGAGGCGCTGCCGCCTCCCCTGGCCCCGTTGCCCCCGCCGCCGCCGCCCGCGCGCAAAGGTTCCTACGTGTCGGCCTTCCGGCCTGTGGTGAAGGACGCCGAGAGCATCGCTAAGCTCTACGGTAGCGCCCGCGACGCTTACGGCGCGGGGCCCGCGCGGGGGCCGGGGCCAGGGCCGGGCACGGGGTCCAGCGGCGGCTATGTGAGCCCGGACTTTCTGAGCGAGGGCAGCTCCAGCTACCACTCCGCTTCGCCCGACGTGGACACTGCCGATGAGCCCGAGGTGGACGTGGAGTCCAACCGATTCCCCGACGACGAGGGCACACCGGACGAGACGGAGCCCACCGCCACCGGCGCGCCCAGCACAGGAGGCGGCCCAGACGGCGACCAGCCCGCTGGGCCCCCGTCTACCAACTCCTCCGGTGCCGAAGGTCCCACAGACTCTCCCGACGGCAGTAGTCCTCGTCCCCGGCGCCGCCCGGGGCTACCCTCAGCCAGCCGGTCCGTGTTTGGGGACTTGGCGGCCGAGGATGTGGTGCGGAGACCTGAGCGGAGCCCGCCCAATGGCAGCTATGAGCTGCGAGAGCCTTGCGGGCCGCTGGGGGGCCCCCCGCCGGCCAAGGTGAGCCCAGCGACCAGCCCACTGGTGGTGCCCCCCTGCCTGCCCCTCGGCACCTGGGGTTCTGGGGCCGGCCCTGGCCGGGCAGGGGACGGGAATTTTGTTCGGAGCGTGCATTCGAGCAGCAGGCCTCGGCTTCTCTAAGAAGGCTGAGCTGTGGGAGCCAGGTGGGCTGGGCTCGCTGGGACCCCCAGCTGAGGCTTTCGGAAGACGGAGGCGAGAGGCAGGCCTGAGAAATGCGTGTGTTGTGTTTTCATTGATGGGAGTGAGGAGGAGACAGGCAGGGACCATCAGTAAAACAGAAACAGAAAAAGACAGGCGTGGGGGCGTCTGGAGGGAGAAGGTGGAGGAGAGAGAAAGCGACCCAATGCCAAAGAAAAGCGCTGGTGAGGCTGGGCCGGTAACGCGCCCTTCCGGATGGGATTCAGAGCCCCGGGGAAGAGCGGCAGGTAAGGAGAGGGCGTTCTGTCCCAAAGCCAGGCCACTGCAGTACGGGGTCCCCGAAATCCTCTTGCACCCCAATTCGTAGTTGTCCGAGTCTCTTCGAATTCCCGCCTTGAAAACCACAGGGTTCGAGGTGGGAAGCTGTCGAGACACTGCGGGTGGGAGAGGGGCTCTGAGGTTGGTGGGATTTAGAGTGGGGCGGGTGCAGCTAAGCCGGACTGTTGGCCATTTGAAAGTGGGTGCGCACACTTGTACATTTCTCTTCGGTCCATTAAAAACGAATCGTTAGCCAGATGCGAAAGGCGTCATTTATGCCTGGGACTGGGCGCGGGAGGGAGGAAAGATGCTGAAAAGGAAGCGGTGGGAGAGAGTGGGGGCGACTTTGAACAGCCCTTGGCTTGGGTGCCGCTTTGTGTGTCGGATAATTTTCTCGAGGGCGCTAATAATTACCCGGAAACTACAACAGAGATGCAGCCCCCAAGGTCGCAAGGCTGTGCCGGGAGTGTCACCGCCGCCCCGGGCGCTCCAGTCCCACCCAGTAGCCGACCTCCGCCACCCCTTCAGCATTCTCTCCTCCGCGCAGAGCTAGGCGGCTCCCAGCCGCCGCCAAGCGTCCCCCTAACCGCCTGTCATTTCTCGGCCGACGCAGGTATACGCGCCCGAGCCAGACGAGCACGTGAAGAGCGCGGCGGCGGCGTTGGGGCCCGCGGCCTCCTACCTCTGCACCCCCGAGGCCCACGGTAACGCCCCCAGCCCCTCTGAGGAGGTCGCTGGCCAATGTGATGGGGGGACAGCAGGCAAAGGGCTCGGGGGTGGGGGCGGTCAGGGGAGGTCTGCGAGGGAAGACAAGAGGAGAAAGACTGAGACAGAGAAAGCGACAGAAAGAGAGAGAGGGAAAGAAAGACAATGAAAGAAAAAAAGAAGCTCAGAGAGAACTTCCAACAACTTTCGTCGTTTGGTTACCTAACAACAATAAACCTCCCTCTCCAGCACATAAACATATGCTCACGTACACCTTGTACTCTGGGTTAAAACCTTCTTTTAAATCACGCCTGGTACCCCTTTCAAGTGCTTTCATTTATAAAGCCAAGTGTGTGGAGCCCCGATGTACCCCGTGGTAGGCCGGGTCCAGCGAATGGTGGCGGTGCTTGGCTGCGCACTGGGTACACCTGCAGCGCCGTGGTACCTGCGGCCCAACGCGATTGGGGGGTGAGGGGAGTCCTGCGCGAGCCCTACAGGACCCAGGGGCTCCCAGATAAGAGGCTGACGGCTGAGGGCACCCCGGCAGGCCAAGCCCAGGAGCACGTTTCCCCCACCACTACCACGCCGAGGTCACAGCCTGGGCTGCGTTCTCGGCGGGAGCGGCGCAGGCAGACCCGGCAGCCACGCGCGCTCGCGGTGCCCCAGTATCTGCGCGCGATGTAGGTCGCTTGTCCCTGGTGGGCTCGGCTGCACGTATTGCTCTTTACCGAGGGGCTAGGGAGGGGGCGTAGAGCCCGAGAAGAGCAGACCGCGCGCGGGGGAGGGAATGCCCGGCCCAGAGCCTGAGGGTGCGAGCCCAGACGCACAGCATGGAACAGCGGCGGCCGCGAAGCTTTTAATTAGGGCTCGAGCGCCCGGACTGCGGTAGCTCTGGCCGTATCCGGGTCACAGTTTCTTTTCCTCTCCTTGAAACTCGGTTTATTGCCTTTAAGAGCCAGATAAAGAAGACAATCACTCGACTGCCGACGATTTGGAAACGAGGAAATCCTATCCAGACCAAAGGAGTATCTCCCAGCCAAGTCCTGCAAATACAGACCGAGGTGAGCCCTAGGATGCTCGAGCACCACCCCCAGTCGGGACTTGGGGCCCAGGTCGCATAGATTCCCACCAGCTTTGGCTTGTGAGGAAGGCTTTCCACAAGTGTAAGCGGCTGTGGGTCCCCTTCTGCGGCTGGCAGATAAATATTTAAACAGTGTGAGCAAGGTGCAAGCCAAGTTTCCTGAGCTGTTTATCTCCTTGGTGGGTTTGGGGCTGTTCGGGTAAGAGAAGAGGGCATTTTAGAAGGACATGAGGGACACCATCACCCACATAAAACAAATCAAAGGGCACTTCCTGCCCTAAGATAGCCTGTTTTCCCTGGGTCACCTACAGTGGGTCACTCCCTCAAATGATGACTACATCTCTCAAATGATGGCTTGGAAGGTGGTAGTACTGGATGCCTGTAACTATCTCCTCTAATGGCAGAGGGTCTGGAGTAGGTCCCCCACAGCACAGTTCCCAGGAAGCTCACTCCTCCCCTCCCAAAGCCTCTCCCAGGGCAGGAAACCTCGAACCTCCCCTTGTCTTCCAGGCGAAGATGGGCTCACCCTGGATGTCACAGCAACTCAGCTAGTGGAGAAAGATATTGAGAACCTGGCCAGAGGTGAGGTTAAATCTGTTCAATGGGGCTACACTGTGCTTGGGGACATGTGCCCTTCTTGTAGAGGTGTTATTCCTGTCAGTGTGTGTGAGAAGCCAGGGCTCTTGGGAATTGGTTTTCACTGAGTGGAAAGAATAACCCCCTGGACATATTAACCTGGCACAGAGGTGTGTATGTGAATAGAGGGGGGCTAGAGGGAACCAACACCCCCCCACACACACAGGTTCGTTGGAAGTTTAAGTTCCCGAGGCCAGGTCTGTCTAAATAGCTCAGTGAGAAAGAGAAATGAGTCAAAATCTAGGAACTTGATGCATGTGGACAATCAGACAGGACAATCTGGGTCTCCCAAACTCACGGGAAAACATGACTTTCTGAATAGCAAGATTCCTAGGAGGCATTTACTTTAGGAAGGTTAATTTTTTTTCCCCTGGAATTACTGCATAACCACCCTAACTGGGGTAGGGATGCAGCTTGTTTGCAGAACAGAGTCCCGGGGTTGTGTCTCATCCTGCAAGGGGGAGAGTGTGACTTCAGGCACAGAAGAAAGGAACCTCTAACCCCACTGTGCTCATCTATCTCCCATTTTCTGTTTTTGAGCACCTGCGAGGGAAGGATTTCTCGGAGGGCCTCCTCATGGGGAGGACCCAGATACTAATAGCTCCACGGTCAAGGCAGCCCCTGCCACTTCTCTGGAGCTGATTTCTGAGGGCACTGACAGGGCTTTCCCTCCACCTGCTCCCCTCTGCCCAAGCCAGCCCAAGGATGAGTTTGGAATTTGGTGTAGGGGAGAGAGAAAAGCATCAGTGGTCTTTCAGTCTGCATAGTTACAGAGTTCCTGTGATATGCAATTACCTTCAAAATCATTTGTGCTTATATGAGTGTTCTTAGCGTGGATTTGGGATTGGGGACCTCCTGAAAGTGTAAACAAATTGTGCTAAGTATATATATATTTCCAGGGCTGGGGGGTCCAAGGCATTGACCAAATTCTCCCTGCTGTGTATTATTGAAGGGAAGGATTAGGTCTGATTTTTGAAGGGGTAAATCGAGTCCTTTTGGGCTAGCCTCTAAGCTTAGGGAGTTGGGAACAACTTAAAGCAGGAGCCATTCAGCTTAGTACCTTGAGCCAGGACTTAGAAGTGGAAAATGCCTTCTACCATCCCGATTTTATGCTCCTGGGCAATTTATCTCCTAGCCCCCTTTCCTAACCCAAATCCTTTGGAAGCAAATGGGTAAACTGAGTGCTGAGAGCCTCTACCTACTAGGCTCCACCGCCCCCCACTCCCATCTCAAGACTATCGGCCCCGGCAGGAGCTGGGTGCCTCTGGACCTCCTGAGTCCTGCACACCCCTCTCCTTTACCCTCCACTCTCCCCCCTTCACAGATGAATTGCAAAAACTGCTCCTGGAGCAAATGGAGCTCCGCAAGAAGCTGGAGCGAGAATTTCAGAGTCTCAAAGGTACCTCCATCCTGGACCCAACCCCACCCCACCTCATGGCCAGAACCTTCTACCCTCGGCCCAGCCTGGTTCCGGGACCCCAGCGCAAGCAGCTGCCCTGAGGAAGCCACCCAGCCCTCCATTCCTGGGGTTTCCCACTAGGCCAAAGACTGAGGGGGTGGGGGGGGAATAGGGCCGAGGGAGGGGGGCTGTGCTTAACAGCTCTCACTTAATCAATTTGCACAGATAATTTTCAGGATCAAATGAAGAGGGAATTGGCTTATCGAGAAGAAATGGTGCAACAGCTGCAAATTGTCAGAGGTAAGACTGGAGTCAGGTGAGCGCCTGCACGGGCTGTAACTGCCTCTCCTCTGGCAGGAGCCGCAATGTTGGCTCAGTCATTTGGATTTAAATGGAAGGTAATTTAACAATTATTTTTTTTATTTAATATCCTTTGTATACTCTGATTAGCCTTAGAATGGCAAGCGAGCCCAGCAAACGGCTTGCAGGCATCATTACATGGAGTGATTGAACTTCTTATCACGGCAATTTCCATGGTTTCTAAATTAAAAATCGAGGCGTAAAATTACCTGGGAAGTAATGCCTAAGTTTGCTTTAATTTTGGTTAAATCCGTCTGCCTCTAAGCACCATCCCAGGCCATTTCCTCCCTCCTCCAGGCTGCAGTTTGGAGCCTTGATGCCCCCTCCCTCGGTCCTCCTACTTGTTTTTGCGAAGGGCGGGCTGAGAGCTGGAAAGAGGGTGAGGCCAGGGCTGTGACCCCGCCAGCGGCCGAGGGTGGGCTCGTTTCCTCACTGGCCCCTCCCCGTGTCTTCCAGACACTCTGTGTAACGAACTCGACCAAGAGCGGAAGGCGCGCTATGCCATCCAGCAGAAGTTAAAAGGTGCGGAAGCCCAGGAACAAAGATGGGAGGGGTGCCAGCCGCTGGCTGTGCGGGAGAAGGAATGAACGATCGAGTGAATGAATGAACGAACGAACGAACGAATGCATGCATGAATGAATGAATGACGGGGCTAAAGAGAGGGGAAGGCCAGGTCTACCTGGATCAAAAGCTGAGAGGAGGAAAATAGAATTTGCTTTTAATGAGGAATTATTTCAGAACGGGTGAGATAGGGAGAAAGAGCTTCTTGGGCTGTGGACATTGGGAAATCAGCCCTCAGGTCCAAATCCTGCTTTAGGCAGATGGACCTCCCTCTTACTGTGCCTCAGTTTCCTCTTCTGGAAAATGGGGCTATTGAATCAGAGCAGTGGTTTTGAATTGCCAGGACCTCTCTTCTATCCTCCTCTCTTCTTCTGATCCGCTCCCTTGAGAATCCCTGAGTCAGAAGAGGGTGGGTGAGACTGGTGGGAAGAGGAGGGGGTCGGGTGGACAGTGCCAGGGAAGCCAGACAGGTGAGGCACCCAACGTGGCCCGCCTGACTGTCTCTCCAGAAGCCCACGACGCCCTGCACCACTTCTCCTGCAAGATGCTGACTCCCCGCCACTGCACTGGCAACTGCTCCTTCAAGCCCCCGCTGTTGCCCTAGGGTCGGCCCCGCCGCGCCCACGCACCCTCAAGCCATGCTGCTCTCTTCTTGTAAATACCCACGGCCGAGGCGGCCGAGAGCGAGGAACAAGCCATTTGGACCGGACCGATGTAAATACAACCTCCCTCCCGCCCGCCCTCTTCCCGGGCGCCTGGGCCATGCCCGCCAGCTCACGGGCGCCCCTGCCCAGGGCCCGTCTCTGTTTCCAAGTGTAAATACCATTTCGCCTCACGGGTGAACTCCAGGGCATTGGACTCATGAGGTTAACTGGACAGAAGGAGATAATAAAGGGAAGGGGGGGTCTCTCTTTGCCCCAGTACAGCCTCGGACCCCCAATTGTGATTATAATGTAGCAGCTTCGCTGGCGCTGGCCCTGCGCTCCCCGTCCAGTCCACTTCTGAAACTTGTTCCTAATGACAAAGTGGCTATGTGCAATGGATATAAATGTACTGTGAGTCTTTTGGTTCAGCACTGAATTTACTTTAATTTATTTATGCTGTATGTTATTTTGTTTCCTTCTCCTGGACCTACTTCCTGTCCCGTTTTTCAGTCCCTTTTGCTTTGTCTTTGTTTTGTTGTAACCTCTTGATGTAACAGCACTTTAAAAAAGGGCGACAGCTGACTCACGAGATGGAGACCACCTTGAGCCTGTTTGGGGAGACCACCCTGTATCCGTAATTTTTGTTTTGTTTTTAATAAAAAAAAATTGTCACTTCCTGAAGCTGTGGAAGTGAGAGCTGGGGAGCGGGGGGTAGGGCGGCAGAGTGGTCCGAAGCGGGCTGCGCAACAGGTGGAACGTGGGGACAGCAGCAAGGGTTCTGGGGCGCCCGGGCTGAGATTCGCACCCGCCTATGTGGGCAGCTGCCAGCGCCTAACCTTTCCACAAGTCCTTAAAACATACCTAGCTTGCCCCACAGACCACCCCCTCCCCGCTTTTAGGATCCTCCTCTGGGCCCGGACCCTGGTCTCTGATTCCTCCCGAGCATTTTCAGGAGACAGAAGAGTTTATTCGTGCCATTTCCAGCCTGTCCCACCGGGAAGGTCACCTCGAGGGCGCTCAGAGACGGGGCGCTGCCCGGAATCCTAGGCTCAACCAGAACTGCTGGGAGACTCAGACACCCCAGGCCGGGCCCTGGAGCGCTGGGGCGGCGTGGGGGCGAGATGTGCAGCGTTGTCCTGGGAGAGGCCGGCCTGGAAAGGCAGAGCGAGACTCGACGCTGGGGCACCGACGCCCTCTCCCCTGCCCTGCTCTCCTCAAAGGGAAAGAGCTCTGACAGAGTTTCACATTCCGTCCATTTTAGTCCGAGGGGGTTTGAGGATGTGGAGGGTGAAGCCCACCAGCCGCAGGTGCCCGGGTTGTCGTGCACGCCCAGGTGGGTGGGGGTGGCCGCAGTCACAGAGGCCTCACCTGGCCGAGGGCCTCCAGTCGGCCTCAATTTCCACAGCGAACCTGCTGGTGGGGCTCTAGGGAGAGGTGGAAACTGCAGCGCACTTTTTGTGGTGGGGTAGAGGACAGTGAAAATACAGAGGGAGAGTGCACAGTGTTGGGAACCATGCATCCCTTGCATCCAGTTTCACCTCTTTGGCTGACAGATTAGCAGGGGTGCCGTGTCGTTCCCAGGCCTCGGCGTCGGCTCTAGAGCACTCTTCAGGCCCCTCTCCCCGTGGAAGCGCTCTGGGAGGGGAGCAGAGCGCAGGGCAGCAGCGGTCCACCTCGGGGACCAGCGCCCCGACAACCCCGCCCTGCTGACACACCCAGGCTCTCCCTGCACATCGGTCTCCGGGCCGCGCGGGGCGCCCAGAGCCCTGGAGGCGGGGGCTCCACGCCGCCCGCCCGGAGAGCAGCTGGGGCCGGGAGTTGGGTGGCGGGTCGTCTAGAGGACCCGGCGGAGCGGAGCCGGAGAGCGGCGAGCGAGTTCGGAGACGCCCGGAAAGGGGTGCGGGTCGGGAGCCCTAGCTCGCAGTCAGGGCACCCCGCACTAGGGCTCGGAGTCCTCAAGCCCCAGCTGATCCCGAGGGCTAGACAAAGAGGGGACCTGAGAGAATGGCGGTGAGGGTGCCGGCTGCAGGGTGAAGCGTCGCGGAGGGAAGTGGCCCCGGGTCGCAAGATCTCCCAGCGGCGACCCTTCAAGGAGCGGGAACATTTCCTATGGGTGGAACGGACCAGATCAGTCTGCACTGTACCACAGGTGAAATTGGGGTCCAGAGAGGAAGTGGCTCGGGGTGTGCGGGGGGCGAGCGGGGCGGGGACAGGGCTGGGCATCAGTGGTGTCGGAGGGTGCCCGCGCCTTTGAAGCGGCACTTTCCTTCTGCGTAAATAGGAAAACGGTGACTACCCAGGCAGGAAGTTCAGCGGCTGCGGCCCACACGCAGCAGCCTAGCAAAGACTCCCGTTCACCTTCCCTTTCCGAGTCCCCCAAACCAAGTGGAGAAAAAAAGCCGTAGGCAGCTGGGGCCTGACTGAAAGGGCGCCCCATCTGGGCCGGAATCTCTGAGGACTGGAGGTGTAGGCGGATCCGACCCAGAAAGCTCTGTCGCAAAAACCCTCTTGGGCTCCGTGTCCCTTCAGAAGTGGTTTGTTTCCCCCCCAAATGTTAATAACCAAACGATTGGTATGGATGTAATTATCAATAATTATACGAATTATTGCTGATTGCGGGGCTCGTTGCTACTTTAATTAGTTTACCAGATTCTAATTAAGTTAAATGAAACATTAATAGGGAAAATATGGTTTGAAAAAAACAACCCAGGATTTTTTTTTCTATTTCTCGCCACAATGTTGCCACCTTGCGACACATTTTAGGCATTACATCCAGCGTCCGGAGGCCCCAGACTAACGCGCCTTGAATCGGAGAAAAAAGTGGGGCTTGTGGAATTGGGAGTCGGCTGAGGGGCACAGAATGTCTTCCTGGCTTTCTTTCTGGGTGTTTGGTTCCGCACCCCGATCCTCGGCTGTGCCCACGAGAGATCTGGCTCTGGAGTCCGAGGTCTGGGGATAAAGAACTAGATAAACCGTGCGCCCTCGATCTCCCACTCCCTTTTTCAGCAAATAAACTTCGGTCCCCTCACAGGGAGGCACCGTTGGACAGGTGGTCTCTACCATCACCTGCCCCAGCAAATCCAGGGTGAGAAACAGCCCAGCTAGAAGAGCTGGTGGAAACAGCACCAGGTTGCTTGATTTTTCACTCCCCTGGGAGAAACCAGTAGGCTGCTCGCCACGTCTATTTTCTCTATAAATTGGGGTAAACTGTTGGCAAAAGACACCTGGGAGACCCCTGGATTCTGGAGACTAATCTCTGTGTTTCTTGGTACTTAGTCATGAGGCTAACGGTGTGTTATATCCTTGGTTTTCCCATAGGACTGTAACTACTCCTGCAACAGGGGCCACATCTTGCTCTTTCTTGTCTAACGCGAGGGCCAGTGCATCACAGGTGCTCCAGAGTTGTCTAGATGAATCGGTTCTACCTTCGTTGTTCATCTGAGTGCTGGAAATGTCTGAGGGAAGGAATCCCTAGGTACTTATGGACAACATCAACGTGGAAGCAATTAAGTTATTTGTATAAGGTTAATTAAGCACAAGTTTACTGCTCAGAAAATCCTTCATCAGTTGGATTAGTTTAGAGGACAGGTGTCATGTAAGTGATTATCAGCCCAGAATAGGAAAATGTCTTCTCCTTCCAACTGCATCCCAAAGAGGATGCTCCTTCACTCTCACATTTTGCCAGGTCACTGGGCACACTACAGTCCACCCATTCCCAGCTACCCTGATCTAAAGAATAACTTTCATTCATCCTTTGTAAAAAACGCAACTCCTGCCCTTGAATTCAGAACACCAACAAAGGTAGCATGGATTTGTATGCTCTTTCCCTTAATTCTAAACATGTCCACTCTCCACCACCCTCACTGCCTCCACCCTTAATCCCCTCAAGGTGCATAGTGTTTGGTTAAGTGCACAAACTCTATAGCCAGATTTCCTGGGTCTCGATCCCCTCTCTGCCACTGACTAGTTGTGTGACATCGGGCAAGTTGTTGAATCTCTCTGTGTCTCAGCTTCCTCATCTATTACATGAGGGGAAAAGGGCACCTACTTCATAGAACTGCAGAACCAGGAGAGTCGGCCAGGTCTCTGGCTTTTCCTGGACTAGGAATTGCCTGTCTTTCCTAATTTCTGCTCTGAAACAACCGTAATGCCAAGAATGATGAATTTCTTTAGGAGAGAGAGCCACGCCAACATTGTTTCCTTATTTGGCCTCCCAGAGAGAAACTTTTAAAACCACTCACCCAATGCCCAAGTGTCCTCCCAAGAAGAATCACAGGCATATTTGGGGGAAGAAAGGAAAACCAGATTATTTTCTAACCCCATGCATTGGAAGCCATGAGCGGAAGAGGAGCAGGTGCAAGGAGAAGTCCCGCAGACCCCTATTCTCAGCGGTTAGGAAAGGATCATTTCACTTCCACCGAAGAGACCAGAAATGGGTGCCTGATCGAACGCTGCATGGCAGCTCCGAGGACCCACGGGGAGAGTACCCGCGCTGTCCCCGTTTGGCGCTAGGGTTCCACCTCTGACTGCCTGCCCTGACTTCGATCGATCGCACAGAGCCTGGGGGCCCTGCGACCGTTGCAGGGACCTACCTCCAGAAAAACCGTGTAAGTGCTGAGATACTAGCAAAGACTATGCACCAACACTTTTCTCCTAAGGGGAAAAATTAATATTAAAAAAAAAAAGACATCCTGTGTGACTCGATGGATTCAGTGTTGTCCCATGGACTGAGACGTCTCCTTTGGATCCGAGTCAGGGCACATGCCTAGGTTGCGGCGCCATCCCCAGTAGGGGGCGGGCAGGAGGCGGCCGATGGATGTTTCTATCTTTCTCTTCCTCTCTCTCTAAAAAATCAATAAAACATTTTTTTTAATTGACAAAGTCATCACAAGAAACCTGAACTTTATTGGACTTTTTTCTTCTCATCTTAGTAGTTATGAGTGTGCTTTTTGCAGTTGAATTACCTCGGGGTAACTCCCCCCATCTTTTCAGGGTCTCTGTCTTTAAATATCTCAGGCCTTGCTTCGGTCATTAACTAGGTACATAATCTTGCCCAGGTTACTTTACCTCTCAGTGTCTACTGTAAAGTGGTGACATTAATACCCACAGGAAAGGGCTGTCAGAAATATTAAAATGAGATATTGATGAAGCCCCTGGCACAAGATAGATGCCCAATAAGGAGTGGACAATTTTTAAGATTCAGGGGCAGCATAAGGAGTCAGTCTTGTTGCAAGTTTCTGTTTTAAATCACGTTAAGTTTGCCGTAGCACTAAAGTCCTGTTATGTTTCGGTCCTGAAGGGGATCAGCTTTGGGAAGGCTATTTCCTTAAGTGTAAGATATGGTAGAACTCAGGATAGTGCAGAGGGAAGCAAAGGCAGATGGAGAAGAGAAGCCGGGCCCAAGGGACAGATGGAATAAGCACGGAAACAGACGAATCTGAGTACCTCCCCCCCTGTAATCCCATCTTCTGGGCCTCGTTTCCTTGATGCCAAACAAAACATACGACCCTGTAGGTGAAAAGCGCATCCAGGTGCACACTGTGCACAAGGATGTACTCAGGTTCAAGAAAATATGGAACGCTTCACGAATTTGCGTGTCATCCTTGCGCAGGGGCCATGCTAATCTTCTCTGTATCGTTCCAATTTTAGTATATGTGCTGCC